ATATTGTTTTAATTTTTTTTCTTTATTATTATATAAGCTATGAGGCCAAGTACTTTACACCCTTGGATTTTCTTATTATGACACATTTTTTCTCAATACAGAAGTACAACTAATTCAGTGTTTATAAACAGAAAATAATGACCTTTTTTCCTTCATACTTTTTTCATTACAAAAGTATAGTCAGTGGAGCTGACAACACTCATCTGGTGGATGCATACACCCGATACAACCATTGTTCACTATCTGCTTCTCTATCATTTTCATTCTAACTCACCCTTAATATTGTATCAGTTGTACATGCACCTGATGAATGGAGCCTGCTTGGCTGACTACTCATCAGGTGGATGTGTACAACAGAGGCAATCACTGTTATCTGCTTCTCAATCATTTGTATTCTAACTCTCCCTTAATATTGTATCAGTTGTACATTCACCTGATCAGTGTAGCCAGCTTGGCTGAACATACGAAACAGTTCTGTAGTGGAATAAAAGTATGAAATAAACAAGTTTTTATTGTTTCATTAGTAAATGTTTTGTAACTACAGTACACTAATTTTCTCTTATCCATAACATCTATCCAACAAAATGTCCTACCCACCCAACTGTTTAACAGTTATTTTAAAATTTTACTTCATTCTATCATTGTTATTAACTCAAAATTAATTAACATATTTTAAAATAGGTATACATGTTTTGAGACCACATATGTTTTATGCTTATTTGCAATGATTTACATTTTGGCTATTTCACTGAGTATTCATCATGAAATACTTCACTGATGCTCAAATTATAAAAAGGTAATATTTCTTGTCCACATGATCTCAAAATGTTGTTCTAAACCATACACAAGAGTGAAGCTGTAAAATTGGATGCTTATGGTACCACTTAGTACCCATTCTATTGTCCATACATCTGTATAAAGTAATGTTTAATTATATAAATTGCATTTTTGGTTACATAATTGTTCTTAATCTTACAAAGTAAAGTTTCTTCAACTCATCAACAATTAACGATATGAAAATAATTAATCAACGATATCATAAAAAAGTCTTGCAAGTTGGTAACGAATGATAAATGCACAAACACTGCACATGACCTGCAAAGAGATTATATATTTATATAAATATTGAGTAAGTCAAGATGGTAGCACATACAACATTGATTCACAAACAGCCCTTCCAATAATGGACATAAATTATATAGTGTAAATTGTAAAAAATATAAATTAAATAATTTGTAATACAAGAAGGCCTACTGAATTATATCAATACAATAAATTGTTGTTTAATATTATCTGAATGTGTGAAAGTTAATATAGATGAGATACAGAATAAAACACATTAATAAATTTATTGTTTTTAAACTTAAGTGTTTGAAAATTTAGTATTAAAAGACTATTGAACTTGATTTAGAAGAGAAGCTGTTTTGATTGTAAATAAATCATGTTTAAAGTATCAAATGTTAGGGTAAAGAACACAGAATTTAAAGATTGTTCATGCTTATATTATGTGATGATGATTCATATTATGTGATACTGATGCTGGCACTACCATGATGCTGAGGCTCATTTCATGTGATGTTTATGCTCATATCATTTGATTATGATACCATGTGATACAAATCCTCATATCATGTGATAATGAAGCTCATCCATGTGATGCTGATGTTTATATCATGTGATGCTGGTAGTCATAATATTAATAACTTATATAGCGCATTTTCAATTAAAGCTGTTCAATGCACTTTACAAAAGTTAAAATGGACAAATCGAATAAAAATACAGTATACATGGAATAATTATACAAAGTTTAAGAATAAAAACTACCAATGCTCATATCATGTGATACTGATGCTTATATTATGTGATGCTGAAGCTCATTCATGTGACGCTGACGTTAATGTCATATGATGCTGGTGGTCATATTGTGTGATGATGATACTTGTACCATGTGATACTGACATTTCATGTAATAATTTCTCATGTGTTATGATGTTGATGCATATGTGATGATGATGCATATTATGTGAGGCTCATACAATGTGATACTGATGCTCATACAATCTGATGATGAAGCTAATAATAATAATAATAATAATAAGATTTATTAAGCGCACATCTCCACTAAAGTGCTCAAGGCGCTTGTGAAAACCATGAAAAAGCTTATCCTTTTAAACTAAAGGCTACCAGAAAAACGACCATAACCCACATCACTGCTTCCGTTTACCAGCAATTTAAGGTGCAAAGACCGGCTAGTACATAACTCACAGGTGTTCTCAGTTTTGTGGGCATCATGTTCATGCATCATCTAATTTCATGTGATAATTATTCTTAGGAGCAGGAATAGCTCTCAAACAAGTACACATTATATCTGACTTACTTGAATAAGCAGCATATAAATTGTAAGAGTTTGTTCATGTGTAGGCCCAACAAGCTTCAGAACAAAATTGATGAGGGTGAAATTATTGACTTCAATCTGGTCTTTATCTTCACCAACACCTTCCACTACATGTATCAGATGTAAAGACTTCAATAACTTTACTATCCAGCAACCTATTCGAAATATAAAGAAAGTATGTTTAAAAAGTTTGGACTTGTGTGTGAGGCTCTGTGGTGTCTCATGCTGTGTGGTGTGTATGAGGCTGTGTGGTGTAGTGTGGTGTGTGAGGCTGTGTGGTGCTGTGTTGTGTGTGAGGCTGTGTTGTGTGTGAGGCTGTGTGGTGTGCGAGGCTGTGGGGTGTGTGAGGCTGTGTGGTGTGTGATGCTGTGTTGTGTGTGAGGCTGTGTTGTGTGTGAGGCTGTGTTGTGTGTGAGGCTGTGTTGTGTGTGAGGCTGTGTTGTGTGTGTGGCTTGTGTTGTGTGTGAGGCTGTGTTGTGTGTGAGGCTGTATTGTGTGTGAGGCTGTGTTGTGTGTGAGGCTGTGTGGTATGTGAGGCTTGTGTTGTGTGTGAGGCTGTGTTGTGTATTGGGGCTGTGTTGTGTGTGAGGCTGTGTGGTGTGTGAGGCTGTGTGGTTTGTGAGGCAGTGTGGTGTGTGAGGCTGTGTGGTGTGTGAGGCTGTGTGGGTGTAATGCTGGAGAGAAGATAGTGAGTATGATAGTATTTGATTGGAGAAATTTAATCTACCAATATACAAAATATCGCACAGGAAATCATGGTCTAGCCATCTCAATAACTCAGTGCTTCTGTGGTCTCACAATCCCCATAGCACATGGCTTCAATATACTCCAACTAACTGACATTTCAATACAAACTTACCGATAAAATTCAGATTTTTAATTCTAAATCTTGCATAGCTCATATCCAATTTGTTGGTTTTTTCATTAAAACTGAAAGACAGTATTACAATTTTCAGCGTTATTCATTGCATGTACGTTGTACAAATAATAAAATAAAGTTCTTAATCTTTAATTTTTATATTTCAATAGAATATTGTAATAACAACTATTAAATATATATATATACATATATATATTTATATATATGAACAAGAAAAAAGACTTCAAAGGCATAAATTGTTGTTATATATATACATATATATATATACTTAGTAATAAAATGCATAAAGCAAAAGTGTAGAGTAGCCGTAACTTTTAATGAAAAAAAAACACAAACGTTTGATATATATATATTTAAAAATAACAAAATGTGACCTACCGTGGTAATCGATGACGGGGACATGGAACAAAATGAAACAACTGAGGAACAGAGTACAGAAAGTTGACAATTTGTGGTATAAAAAATAGCAAAACGGTTTTGCTAAAATGACCTAAGATAGCAACAACAGCGAAAGTCATCCCAGAAAAGTAGCAAAATGTATCTCCCACAAAGACATGTGAGGGGTACCTGTGAAAGAAAAAATTAAAAAAACAAAAGCCATAAATGATTGATTAGGAACACTGTAAATTACTTCTCAATGCTGAGTTTACTGCAAAAGAATAGTGGTTTTACGTCACATCAGACTGACAGGCCATAACTCATTCCCCGCCCTTGGATTCCTAAAACAGAAAAGCATAAAAATGGACCAATAAAATGCCTAGCACATGGGCCACCGATGCACACTAGGGTAACATGTAGTGACTTACCAGTTGTGATACAGCAAGGCCGAGCATACTGCACAGTACGGCAACATGAAGTACAAGGAGAAGCGATGGGCAGCTGACCATGCACCTAGACAGCAACAAAATTTTCTATGGTAAGATATATAAAGCTAGGTCAACAATTCTTAACACATTTTTATTATTAGAAATGAAAATAATTCAAGTTGTATACATGTAATAAACTAGATAAACTTACGGGTATGTAAGATATGAAAGTGTATAATACTTGTGAATGGGGCTGCACATGTGTGGCATTTCTAAAGTCGAGAGTGCACTGCGCTTGACGGTTGTAGGCCGATGAGATTCCATAGAGAACGCAATGCCATAACATGCACGCAACGGATCGTTTTTAATGTAGATCTGTTCAGACTACGACACAGTGAGTGTCTGGTATAAGACTAAGAGATGGAGGGCACTGTACCCTGAGAAAAGTTTGCCTAAACCAAGTCCCCAACCAAATAAAAAAAAAAAAAATTACATGCAAGTGTATTTAAATATCCCCTCATTCTTGGGAATATCGCCACATTTTACATTCATTCCTCTATTAGCCTCATGTCAGAGCTTCCAAATATGCCCTGCTTCATGGTGAATAATTATATGTGGTCCCCACACCCCCATCCCCACCCAGATTATGCCCATGTGGGTTGTAATAGAAAGGTGGAAAATTCACTGGCGCACAAATTGCAGATGGATTGCCTACACAAGGTTGTCTGCTTTTTCTCATATGTGCCGCCTTCAATATGCTGAAGATCCTGCAGCTTAATGTGTGTGTGGCTGTAGGCAGGTTGCTTGACGTCTACCCCAAAATTAGGGAGCTTTAGATTTGTGCGACGACGCAACACTAGAACGGAATCACTCATGCGTGACCGTCCTACCTGGCGTCCTACGTTCTCTGCATGCATGGATTTGGCCAAATTGCGTTCCAGAATCTACTCGATAAGGTGACCTTAACGTTCTTGCATGTGCAGATGACTTTTAGTGATGTCATTACGTTCTACGTCCTACTGTCTTTGTGCAAATTAAAAGCTCCCTAGTATATCTGCTGAAATAAGTTTAAACTTGGGATTATGATTACCTGCAAGTTCATTGCAATTGAATAATACGATGGACAGTCCAATGACCAGTGATTGTCCTGCTTCTATGCCATTAATTCCAGCAAGAATGTTGATAGCATTCGTACAAAACACTCCAAGCATTCCCATGTAAACATAATACAGTATGCCTACCAAAAGGAAAATAACATATAAAATACTTTTGTTTTAATATCATATTTATGTAACCTGCACCTTGTTTTTCATAGTGTATTTTTAATTAAGTTTATATTCTTTTTTATGAAAGCACTGCAACCTGAATTTCATGTGAACCGTGTTGTGCACAATGACAATAAATCGATCTTGTATTTTGTATTTCTATAATTGTGTATTTTGCTCCGCTCTACGTGCTATGTTTATAGTGAATAGAGGCAATTAATATACCAGTCAATATTAAAAGCACCGATAACAAAAAGTATCACAATAACAATTTCATAAGTATGTAATAAGTTTGTTTATTTTGTCTAATAAGATTTGGAATTCATATGGTAACCATCAAATTTAACTTCATTCAATCCTAAGCCTATGGAAGAATTCAGTAAAAGGTAGAATAAAAACATACATCCATTCGGATAAACGCCTGGGGCGTCTGTTTTTGAAAAGGGTTTTTGAGAGGACAATTTTTTTGAGGGAGGCATTTATTCTTTTGGTGTAAAATTGATATGTATATTATACTCATGCCCCTTACTTTCTCTGTAAATGTGGAACTACAACAAATAATTACAGTCAAAATGCATTATTGATCCCAGGTTTGAAAAAATGTAATTCTACTGGAGTAGAACATTAATAGGAAGTTTTTACAAAAGATGCTGCTTCCGTTATATCTGTTTATAGCCATTTAGGGAGCATTTATTCAAGGAAAAAATAAACGCCTTGCGATGGAGATTTGTATTCCAAATGAGGCTCTAGAGGGGGTATATATTTGAGGTGGGTATTTATTCGAAGTGAGGGTTTTAATCGAATAAATACGGCATATTAACATTTAAGTAGGAATCAAGAGACAAATATGCATCCTTACGTAGATCAACACTTGTTCCAATGTACTGTGTAAAAGGTTTTGGTATAATCACAGTAGTTGAACCAAAATTAACCATGTAAACCATCAGAAGTGGTAGTGTCGCCATGGTAGGTAACCACAACTTGTGCCGCCATTTTAAATTTAAAACATCATCAGCAAATCCAAGAAATATCATACAGCAAATTGATAATAAAGCCACAATAAATTCAACAAACTGCAAAAAAATATAAAAGAAATGAAAACAATCGATTGAAAAGGTTTATTTATAAATGTTCAAAAGTTTGAAATATTAAGAAATTGTTTAACTCATAGTAATCATCAATTTATTAACTGCCCCTTGAGCAATTGTCTTTTTTATATTTTCATAAATCTATTAAAAATTTCATTTTACCACAGAATTATTAGGTTTCAGAAACAAAGACACATGAAACAGTACTTCCTAGATTGAAATTTGTCTTAATATTATTCAATTTCTAAGATTAAGAACCTACCTCATTATGTGGAAAGTTGTTTGTGTTATTTTCGAACCATTTTTTACCAAATGGAATTGGAATGAATGTGAACATTATGATGAGGTACATGGCTCCACATATCACTCCCAAAGCTTCAGGTCTATGAAGATAAAATGAGGAAAAAATGAGGTACATGGATGCTCACCTGCGCTCTACCCCCAATATCAGAAGTTTGCTATGATGACTTTGGAGGGACAAACGAGCTAATGCTCCTAACGTTCAAGGTAATTCAAGATAATATGGAAATTTTAATATTGACAATGATATTGTGTCGGTCTTATCTTACTTTTAACCTGTCACCATGTCATTGTAATTGTTTATGCAGTTTCCTTTATGATGATCTTCATTATGATTATTATTCTGATTTAGTCATAGCGTTTATTAATGATTGAACAGTGCAAAGTATGAACACACCTGTAATAATAATAGGCCTAGGGCTGTAGTAGTGCAACGAATAGGTTCATATGGGACCGGTCCAAATGGTTAAATTTGATCCAGATGTTTTACAGAAGTTTTTGGTTTAGTATACAAACAATAGACTTCCTAGGCCCTATCAGCTGATCTCAGCGTTCTAGAATAGGCATAAATCTACACTAGGTCATCGAAATAGGACCTAGGCTAGTAGGAATAGGTGTCTTTCACTTACACCTTTTTAGCCTCCTTGCCCTTGGAAGGAGTGGGCTTGTTGAGGTCTCGTCCCGACAGTCCTGCCTGGATGAACAATTCTCCAAAGAGTGGGATGATTCGAACTGTTACAAAAAATCCGACTACCGAAAGGGCAACATTTATCAAAAGAGGTCCACCAAGTCCATATAAACTGGTAATAATAGCTGATGAATTATCCTGCTTCATCTTGGTAAGGTTTCTAACATAAAACTGACGAAGTATAATGTGCAATCTGCTCAATCACATTGCATCACATCGCAGCCTGAGCCTCCGTACCTACCGGTTGACACGCTTCACTGATCAAAAACGATAACAAAAGACCCTTGAGGTGACCTTTGAACCTACTTTGCTGAACATTGGGAGAAAATGGGCGGATAGACGTTTTGCTACAGCAAAACACTATTCCGGTCGATTGCTCTTCGTTGAAGTAGGATTGGTTCGAGAAAATAACTTGTCTCAAAATAACACTTTGTGTGTTCTATCATATTTATTTTTCTATTTTGATATTTCTCTCCATCGGGCAAATCCTGGTAGGCCTACCAATCTGATATTATTTATTTGCCAAGAATCAATGTTCTTATTTTTTGCCCAATCAAAATTACAGTAGGCCTATTCTTATTTTGATCTTATTTCCACACTTTTCAAAGATAGAAAATTATTATTGTACATCAGTATATAGGCCTACTTAAACTTTAACTGTATGAAAGAAGGTATTGGTCACACCTACTGCACATACGGTACAGATAAGTCCAAAAGAATTTTCAACTGTATAAACTTTTTTGTTTTTAAGCATTTTCAGCCGCAGTGTTCTTATAAACTGTGTGTATATAAAATAAAACAATTAATAAAATTAACATTTTATACAGTGGCACAATGCGCATTGTGTATAAAATTAACATTTTATACACAATGCGCATTTCTCATGGTTGCATTGTTCCCGTTTCTTATGTATTTTAATGTGATTAATGTGTTTCTAATGCATATAGGCCTGTTTATCATGTCTTTTGTATTCCTTCATGCTATGCATGTTTTATGCAAATGAATCTTCCCCCTACCCCACCATGAGGATAAGAATAAAGAAGCGTTGTTTAAATGGAGAGCAGACTGGTTTCCCCGGACATCTCCCCCCCCCGTATTTCCCCACCGCTCCCCACATTTTCCCCGGACTTTACTTCTCATATTTAATTTCAATTATACATTTTAATTTATATAGGCCTACATGTAAAGTTTTGTCCAGTCTCAGTGTTCTTCTTTATTTGCTGATTTCAGGCTCAAAATGTTCTCATTTTCTTCTTATTTTTTTACAATTTTCAAGCATACACAATTATTATTCCGTGCAGCAATATATTACTGTACTAGGGTTTTACCATGAAACTTATTCCTCCATCGTATTATCACTATAAGGTGAAAACTAATTGCGCATCCTTCCACTCCACTATGTTGGAATCGAGGTTTGCCAATCAAAGATCAGGCTTCCAGTTCCATGCCTTCGTTGTGTATAGCTATGACCTCATCTTCCTCTAGGCTTCCGTTTCTTTTCCTCTTGGAGACATTTCAAACTCAACATCTTGAGGTCCACTCAATCCCTTCCTGAAATTTAACAATCAAGTGAGCAACAAATTATCTTAAAATCAAGTTATAATGATTAAAATAAAAGAGGAACATCTGTAGTACCTGTCTCTTATACACATCTAGATGTGTATAATGTATCTATTTTAATCCATGTTCAACAGCGTTATATCATAATTAATAATAATGAAAATTTAATGTGATAATAAAAAATAATTAATAACTCTAGAGGGAAAATGTAATAACCTTGTTATCCTGTATGGATAGCATTATTGAATAAGTTAAAATAGATAATAAAAAAGTATTTCAGTTTTTACTTTCAGTAATTCATTTCTTAACATATTTAGATAGACTTTGCCGCCTACATTTGTAAAAGTGTTATCAATTTCAAAAGTTAATTCAGGTAACTGGAAAGTGTGGGTAAAAAGAAGAAATCATGTAAATATTGTTGTTACTTTTGCAATCAATTTAATAGAGATAGTAAAAAAGATGATGTAAATGTTGATGTATTCCTTGTATTTAAATTCTTTTATTTAACACAT